AGAATAGTGTGAACCAAGAGGTCGATGAACACGACCCCAACGCCGCCACCGATGAGCGCATCTCTGACTATGACATCGACGACAACCGGAACAACGAGGACGAGAACGGATCCCATAATACGCTGACGAACAGTGAAAAGAGCGATAAGACTGACAAACAAACGAATAAAAAATCTAATGATAATCAAAACGATAAGAAAGAAAATGTTTAAACAATTGTTTCACTCTTTGCAAGAAGTGTTAGAATTGATGTCTTCATCGAATTAAACATTCCATTCATTTTCAATACAATTCCTCACGATATTTGAAAACAAGTCATGAATTTATAGTTACTTTTAATAGTTTTTTTTATATATTACTAGTAATACCGTAGAAAGTATTTATAAAATACTTAAGCCTTAAGAAATGCAATCATTGAATACAATAAGCACTCAAATCGGTTGTGAATTTGTATTGTTTAGTGCCTTAACTCTTAGCGATCACTTCATAATTTATCATTACTTCTCATGTTTATTAATATTTCATTTTTCATCAATTTTATACAAATTTTGTAATTATTATCGTATTACTGATATATTTTGTAGTATTTTTATAAATGAATTTATACCATGTCTACTTAAAACCATGTTTTTTATACCAATGTGTCAAATAATAATTCAATAAAAATTCTCTCCATTTTTGATAATATATTTGCAATTTCTGAACAATTATTTACTATTATATTCATTATATTCATTACAAATGTCTAAAAATGATTTCATTTTTTAGTTGTGTTTTGTTTCTTAGCTCTTCGGCGTAACTCCTCTTTCTTAGCGAGTCTTTCGCGAAGAACTTTATTCAGTTTCGATCGACTGATCGATTGGTTCACCTGTGCTTTGATCTGTTGGCCCGAAGGCACGGGTTTTATGAGACCCCTCTTCACGAAGAACTCAATGGAATAGAAGGAGACGCCGACAGTCGTGGCATATCTGGCAGGAGTGGCCAACTTGTATAGGATCAGAGCGATGGCCACATAGCCGGCAGAACTGGCGTTCGTATCGCTGTTGAGGATATGGACCACAAACTCAGGAAGTGGTAGTTTCTCGGCGTAAGGCCTAATCATATCCAATATGGGCTTCACATCAAAGCCACTGAAAGACAAGACAACACGTGAATGATATCTTCACTTCATATATGACATCGTTTTTCAAACCTTTTTGCGATGAGATATGTTGTGCCAAACCATAGGACACTCGTCACCATATGGACGGGTATCGAGATATACCAGTACTTAACGAACATGAACTTGAGTTTCTTGGTTAACGACAATTGTCTCATTTGCTGCCATTCATCCAATGGAGCCGTTGTTGTCGGCGGTGTTGTCTTCGGGGTCTTGTCTTTCACACCATTGCGAAGGATTTGTTGCAATCGTTGTTTGGTTTGAGTTGTGATCGAAAAACAACGAGTCGTTTGAAATGGTTTTGAAAGACATTTGAGTGAAACTAATGCCGAAAAGTTGGACACATTTGTCATCAAATGATGGCTTTTAAAGTGATTTTGTTGACTATAAGTGTTGAGACATTTGACACAAAACTTTCGTCCATTGAATACACGAAATGTATTTTTACACAAAATATTCATTTTAACCGAAAATATAAAACAAAAATTAATTTAAATATAAATTACAATAAAATAAACAAATGATCGCAAAAACAGCACAACATGTGATACACACGAGTCATACACCGATAGACTGTATAACTAAACCAACGCTTCAATGCTTACAGTGAATGAGGGCTGAGGGCTGACAAGTGAGAGCACCGGTAGGTTTGATCATTGCATCACATATTCAGGAATTGCATATTCTGTGGATTCTGTGATACATTTGCACTCAAATCATGACTCAATCATTGCAATGAATTACACTATTTTTATTTGTTTTATTTTGTAATTTAAGCTTTTATTGCAATATTTTTTATTATAAACAACGAAATAATAAAAAATCAATTAAAAATATTTTATATTAATTTGTTTAAATGATTATTTTGTGAATATTTATAGACATTTAATATAATTTACATTATAATAAACATTCATTGAATATATATTTATATATTAAATTTTTATTAGAGTTTTGAATGATATTAAAGTATTGTAAAAAATAATTGCAAACATTATTAATAAATGATTAGTCTTTTAGATATTATATTAGTCATCGCAGTTGTCTTAAGCAAGTTTTGAGAGTTTCTAAAGTGGTTTCATATCGTTGTTTCTCTTCATCCAAATGCGATTTGTTTTGAATTAAATTCTGAAAACCAATTAAATGGTAAGAATTATGTCAATCGTATCAATGGTTAAGATAAGACAATCTTAAGGGAGATGTGAAACTTACGGCCATTTGTTGTGAGTTTATAAGACGGAGAAACAACTACAGAACGTTAGACAAGAAGTTAAGCACTGAGAAAAGTTTCAGAAAGTCTTTCTCTTGTTTTCGTTCTGTGTTTTCATTTAATTAAATAAATAAGAAAACAGTTTTCTAAACAATTTTATATTCAATACATACCATAAGAATATCTGTCGTACGCTTCCATAACGGCTTCAATTCCTGACCAGTTATGGCCAGAAGTGGATCCAATGTTGACGTAAGGGGTGATGGCATTCATGGGTTGATTGGTCTCTCGTTTCGAGGCATTAGAGGTATGTCTTTGTTGTTGTTTTGTTGTCTCCAAAAGAACTGATTCGTGGAATTCTTGAGCAAAATCTTTATTCAATTGATTGGAATGAAGGCATTGATTGTGAGATCTGTTGTCCACTGAATGGTTGATTGAATCGTTTGATTGTTTGTTAAACAAAACAACTTTTCTTTGCAAACGACTAGAGTTCGAGTGAAAAGAATTCACCGAATGATTGGTCTTATGGTTCGTGAATCCTCTTTGA